CAATTCGGTTACTGGAAGGAGGGCGGGGTTGTACCCTCCCTCCAGCAACCGAACGCAACTCCTAACAAGGGAAATTCCAACTACCCTGATGCCAAACAGCGTCAAGCATAGGTCCGGGAATCGGCAACAGTAGTCGGGTTTCCCGTATCCAGTTCGTCTGAAGAGGATTGTCCGATGTAGAGAAGCAAGCATCGACTTCAGAGAACAACACTCCTCATCGACGACCACCACCTCATCCGCTATGTTGCCGAAGCTTCCCAAAATTTTACCGTCGAGGTGGAGTGGGAGACAACTTCCAGAGATTAAACACTGCGGCGCCGCCATCAGGGGGAGGAAGGAGAGTGGTCGCACTTGAGAAAAATTCTGCTTGACCATGGTACGATGCCCGGTTTAATTTATGTCAATAATTGGCTCAAGAATGAATTTTGAATGAATAATTTGCAACTGGCAAGAGCTCATTTCAGCTGTTCGACCTGATCGTGACGCGACCGGACGACATTATCAGGGCCGACAACGTCGGTCCAAGTTAAATGCAGAAGACGAAGGTGAAGTGGACGCCGAATGGATTCGTAAACTTCCTGTTGACATGCGGACGACGCTCATGCAAATCATGAATATCGATCTGGTGGTAAGTTGTCAGTGTCCGCCACATGTGCCAGCTGAGCGTGTGGTCGCGATGCGGCTGACTCGCAGAAGCCGTACGTTGCACTCTCTCACGGCTGCATTTCTTCTATCCAATTGTTTATTTGAATTAGATTGACACAGGTGGGAAGCGGCGATTGGCAATATAGACGGAATGGCGTTGTACCCACTAAACTTCACTTCAATACGTCAACTGCTTGAAGATCCTTCGGTATTGGACGGGAAGCGCACCGAGGTTTGTAAACGACTAGAACAAGATTGAACTATTTAGTTGTTTTGAGAGCTCTCTTAGGACAAAGCTGGGGCGACGTCAACCATTGGGGATCGACAGCGAGGAGTAGGTTCGCAATTGCCAACGCTAAAGGAAGGCAGGAGCATATTTGCCTTGGAGAATGTTTTCGGTTGTTGACTCTCTGTTTCTAGTGCGCCAGATATTCACTTCCTAGCTCCCCCCCCCACCCCTCCACCCCCTTCATCAGTAAATTATTGTTGAATAAAAGTTGAAGCGAGATTCAGAGGAATTCAGGAACGATGTAGCGTGTAGATGGGCAAAGTGAGTACCTTCTAGGGGAGAAATAGGGGAACTTAGGGGGATCGTATTTTAGCGAAAAATTCCCCCATTGCCAGAAAGTGCGGTGTTGGCTGGGAGAGGGAAGCGTATAGATGGCCAGCGAAAACAAGTGCACGCCTGATTCTCTGTTCGCTTGCGCGCATAGCGTGGATTAACGCTCCGGTGTGAAGCCCAGCCTTGGTAGCCGGTTGAGGGCAGATGGGTGTAGCCTCTTTCAAAACATATAATTCTCTTCACAAAACTTTCTAATACGTTGAGAATCAAAGGTTTTCTGCGTTTATACACAGCGAGCCTTCTTCCAGTTCTCTATCCTTCAATAAATTGCAGCCAAGCGTAGCATTCAATACACAGAGCAGTCCAGCTGACGCTAAGAGCTGATAGACTGGAGGCCAAGGCAAGCAAGAAGCTGATGACACTACTGACACTAGTTTACTGACACTAAACTTTTAGCGAGTACTCATCCGATGAGTACAAATGCAGCTTCTGGGGTAGTCCACTTTACGGACGGGGGAGTCGAACTTATCACTGTACCCTTCTCGCTGGTGCCTTCACTGTCCAAGAAGTTTAAAGCGAGAGGTGCACCAATGAGACAAGGCGAATGACAAGCTGACTCCACCCATACGACCACCATGTATTTACTACTTTCAGATGCGCTACGATTCATTCCGTGAAGTCGAAGCTGGTGAGCTTCCTGCCGTTGCTCATAGGAATTTACTGTCAGCGATAGATTGGGTCGATCATCTATTCGACATCATTGACATTCAGAATCTCGACGATAAGGTTCGTTGGGGTCAGGGCATACAATCTTGTTGATACGGCAAGTTTTTGGTTCACTAATTCAGTCACCACTGCCTTGTACCAGCTATCTTTGCAGGTGGCGACGGTGAAGCACTGTTTCGCTCCACTGATGGTCTTCGGCTATAGTGTCGTGACTGCCAAGAACACTAAACAACCGGATATTGTTTGTGTTTGCAATTTTGGCCACGTTAAACGGGATTGCTGTCTACGGTGGACTGAACCATAGTAGGTAACTAAACACTCAATGAAAAATTTATCAGAATATTGTGAAAACATACTCTTTGCTTTGCGCTGCGAATTTCTTCCTCGGTTTTCTTGAAACTTGAATATTTGTAAGGATGCCTCTTTTATTTGAGGGGCGAAATTGGTTGAGCCGGGCCGCCTCGTGGCCCCCTCAGCTACTTTTGGCCCTCAGTTACCCTTGCCTCCAATACTGAATGGGTTATAGATCCTTAGCGCACAGTACATCGCATAAAGTCATGTTTAGTATTGCAGTCATTTCGCCAATCGTTTGGCTGAGCGCT